TTTCGACGAATATCCATGCTTTCTCGGACTCGGATTGGGCCGAGTGTCCGATTGACGGTAAATCCACTAGTGGGTATGCAATGTTCCTGGCACTAACTTGGTCTCGTGGGTGTCTTGAAAACAGCGGACCGTGGCCCGATCCTCCACTGAGGCCGAGTACAAGGGGTTGGCAGATGTTTCAGCTGAAGTAACTTGGATTGTGTCACTACTACGAGAACTCAGTCTTCACTCTGGCCGTCCTGCTACACTTTGGTGTGATAATCTTGGTGCAACCTATTTGTGTGTCAATCATGTGTTTCATGCAAGGACCAACCATGTTGAAATTGGCTATCACTTTGTACGTGATAAGGTTGCTTCCGGGAATTTTCAATTCAACTTTGTGTCTACGAAAGATCAGTTAGCGGATATCTTTACGAAGCCGCTGCCAGCACCGCGCTTTGGAGCGCTACGAAACAAGCTCAATGTTGTCTCCCTTCAACCTTGTGCTTGAGAGGGTGTGTTAGATATATTAGGATTGTTTATGGTTATAGTTAGTCTTACCTTACTAGTAGCCTATTGTATAGGATATTAACATACATGTATTATTGTAATCATGTGACAGTGAATTCAATCCAATAACAAAATCTCATTGTATGCATACATGAGAGACGTGTTGAGAATCGGATCATAATATTTGTAAAATATAAACGTCTAAATCAACTATCAGTATAACTTTTAGTTAGCTGAAAATATCCTTCGATCAGTTGACTTAACATGCATATTTACTACTACATGTGGCAAGTAAACGTTGGCGGTTTAATTTAATGCTGCGATATATATTTCTTACCTAAATTGTACAAATACCTTAACTGTTACTTGAAGAAATCAAACCCTAGCTAGGTAGTTTGCGTGTGGGACTACAATGGAGTTATTGTTAACCAAGCCCTACTCATAATATATATTCAACCAATCAACCATATCTGCAAGCACAATAACAACATTCCTATGGCACTGCATTAATTTTGAATACTCACATATAGAGTGGGGATATATATTGAACACCTTTTATAATATAAGATAAAACATTTAGTTCGATAAATACTTTCGTGTAGTCAAATTATCTATTTTTGAGAATAACATTTGATTCATTACTATTGACATACACGTGCATCTATATCCATCATATATTTTCTTATATTTTTCTTAATATATAAATATTAAATTTATAAAAAATAGTTTACATTATTTTATTATTATTATTATTATACAATAATATAAATATTTTCTTGATATTGTTCAAATTTGATAAATGGAATATGCCGACTAGGAATAGAATAAAAATTTTATTTTATTATTTAGTTTGCTATATGAATAGACATTGTGAACTAGATCTCAATATTTGGTTGGTTTAATATGTGTGTGTATACACATGTGCGCGCACGCACACACACAGAATCACACATACTAGTTTTGATATGAAAAGCTCATTCAAAGTCAATGACAATCTAAGAGCATCCACACTAGTGGATTTTTCTTGGTTTTTTGTGGGACCCATGATGAAGTAAATAATATAGAAAGAGGTGAGAGAATGTATTTTGATCTCCTGTAAGTAAAGAATTTTTTGTGGATTCCAAGGAGAGAAATAAATGGAGAAAGGGAGTTGCGCGTTTCGCGCACAGCAAACGCCCAGCCGGGCGCGTGCACGTGCCTGTTGGCGCGTTATACCTTTACCTCTTTTTTTTTTCCATCAGATGCATAGTTTTTTTGTTTTTGTTTTTTTGTTTTTTTGTTTTTTTTTTTTTTCTTCATCTCTCTCCTACTTAGATCATCAAATACCGTAAAAAACCTAAACTAATGCAGATGCTCTAATGTTTGTTGTACAAATTTTTATGATCTGATCTGTACAAAATTTTAAACTATATAAAGATTCTATAAAAATAATATAAAATCTATTACTACTTTAAAAGCTTTTAAAACTTAATAAAAGTTTGGATTGAATACCAAAGTTGTTTCTTATTGGTGGTGATTTATGCATGCCACCGTTTAGAGTAGTTGAAAACTAAATTAATAGCATGTGGACGAAGTCAGCAATGTGGATATTTCTTACCCACAGTATGTGAATCTGTGACAATTACTAAAAACCCAAACTGCGCCTCCACATGCAATTCAAACTTTATATAACTCATTATGAAAAAGTAATTAGGATTTTAAAATTTTAAAAATTATAATTAATCAATCAAATTTAGTAAAATCGTTCATATAAGTGAGTTTGCTGGTAACCAACATGTTACCAGTAATATTATGCTGACGTGACATGATTTTGTTTACTTAACTATTGAACCTTAGTTGACTGTCCTCAGGTCGCCGCTAGGCAACAATTAACCTCAGTCGGACCACCTTCTTCGACTACATCGTCCATTCCTCATATTTGAGGAAGGCGACTGTTGCTTTCAAATTTGAGGAAGGTGACACAGTGTTCCCAAAAGGTTGAATCCTTAATCCTAAGGGCTCTCACGTCCTGACCCGATAGAGCATCGATCTGGGAACATGTAAATCATGGTAACTCAGATGATCGAACACAGAGGCTAGACATTTGTTTACTATGCACAAGGAACCCTATCACTTTGAGAGGTTTCTCCCACACTGCCGTGGGTGAGACACTAGTACAAAACTGCACATCCGCTACCGTTGTAAAGGACTTTTCGCAACTGTTATACAACAATCGCGGATACCAAGGTCGTGGAAAGCCTTGGACTTTCCGTGATTGTTGTTAAACAGTCGCAGAATGTTGAGCATTCACGAATGTTCATTGCTCTTAAACTTTACCCCTGTGATCAACTGAGCTGCTCATGTGCTCAATACATCAAAATAATAGTTGATGCACTATACCGACGAGGACCAAGTCCTCAGCCCCCAATTGGCAAAGTTGCAATTTGCACTTTAAATGCATGCATATCCACTTCCCATTATAGTGTTAGATTAGAAAATAAGGCAAGTACCTGCCTAGCCTGCTAATTAATTTGTATTCAAGTGACAAATTACACTTTAATACACATAATCGATTCTCAATTAACAATTACAATGTGAAGGCAACAGCTAATGTGTTAGGCTCCTTATAATAGGTACTGGTCTTTTCACTTAAGAAGTTGTTGAGTCACCATGATTTACCTCTTCACTATCTTATCGGACCGGAGTGTAAAATTCTTGGGTGCGAGGACATCCCTAGAAAATAAGGCAAGCAGAGTTATCATAAGTTACAAATTATTATTATTATTATTATTATTATTATTATTATTATTATTATTATTATTATTATTATTACTAGTAATTCACCCGCACGATGCACGGGAAAAAAATTATGTTATTATAAATATAAATAAAAATTAAAAATATTAAAAATATTTTAAATTATTTAATATAATAATATTTTTGAGCTTCCATTGGTCAAATATTTATTATTTTTATAGAATACAAAATTACAATTAAAATTAAAATTAATATTAAAATTATAATTTTGTATAGTTAATATAATCTCTAATTATGTGCATATTCAAATAAACTTATAGAGAGAATTTACATAATTACATTGATTTATTCTTAATTGTATTTCATCTATATTATAATTTTCACAATACGAATAATAACTAAGATAATTACATTTGGAAAGCAAATTTCAAATTTTGTATGTGTAAATTTAAACTCTAATTGAACACATTTTTTATATGATTATATAATATATAGCTATTTTATTTTTCAAAAGTATATTTTTCTATATGATTATATAATATATAGCTATTTTATTTTTTAAATGTTGTGCTTTTTTTTTTCTTTTTTAATTTTATAATAAAGGATGTTGTGGCATTAATTGTAACATTAATGATTTCCCAAACCATATAGCTTTATTATTATTATTATTATTATTATTATTATTATTATTATTATTATTATTATTATTATTATTATTGTTATTGTTGTTATTGTTATTATTGTTATTGTTATTGTTGTTATTGTTATTGTTGTTATTGTTATTATTATTATTGTTATTATTATTATTGTTATTATTGTTATTATTATTATTATTATTATTATTATTATTATTATTATTGTTATTATTATTGTTATTATTATTATTATTATTATTATTATTATTATTATTATTATTATTATTATTATTATTATTATTATTATTATTATTGGTTAGATTGTTGACTTGGTAACCACAAAATTACAAGTTCAAATCTTAGCAGGAGTTCAGTATTTTGTCATTGAAACGTGAAATTGACTGTTACGCGAGTATAAGAAAAAAAAATTGTACCTTCGTTTCTAACTATAGATATATACTTGGTATTGACAAAGACTATTTATATGGTATATGAGAGCTTTTGGTAATAAATTGTAGAGTAAATGTCAGCCAAGGTCCTCCGAGTTTGGTGATTTCGCCATTTTCAGTCCTAAACTTTCAAATCGACCATCTATGATCCTTCGAGTTTCGAAATCAACCTGCCATAGTCCTTCTGTTAAGATATCCCATCTTAGCCGTGAAAATTAAGGGCAAAGCAGTCTTTTTATTGCAACCACAGCCAAAACAATTCATTTTCCTAATAAATTAGCTCTAATCAATTTCTTCGTACCTTCTTCCTCCCATTTCTCTTGCCGCGACCAGTGTTGTTCCGGAGGGTCCACTCTTTCCCGGATGCAATAAAATGAATTGTTTTGGCTGGGGTTGCAATAAAAAGACTATTTTGCCCTAAATCTCACAGGTGTGGCGAAATATCTTAACAGAAGGTCTACGGCAGGTCGATTTCTAAACTCGGGGATCACGAAGGGTCAATTTGAAAGTTTAGGACTAAAGGTGGCGAAACTACCAAACTCGGAGGACCTGATATTTACTCTAAATTGTATTAAAAGGTCACACATGCATGTATGACTTATTCTAATTCCCCACACCAATAAGTTTCATGACAAATAGTCACCTTAGTGTATAATTTGGAGTGTTCTTTTTCTATATATAGTGCCTAAGATTATTGTTTTTCTCCGACCAACCAAAAAATACAATAATGCCGATGATAAAAACCCTCCAAATATATTTCCTATCCCTGTTATGTTTAACTTTCCTCCTCCACACCGTCTTATCCTACGCCCCTTTCACCGCCGTCCTCCTCCGCCACCACCTCCCCTATAGTCTATCCTGCGCCGCATGCGCCCTCATCTGCTTAGTCTACCACCTTCGCTCCCGCCCATACCCCGTCTTCTTGCTAAATTACGCATGTTACAAGCCGCCACCCCACAGAAAATGTTCGTACAAGGTTGCAGAGACTTTCGTCCGCCGGAACGAACGTTTGTCCGAGGAAACAATCGAATTCATGCGTAACATTTATTTGAAATCTGGATTGGGCGACGAAACCTACGCGCCGCCGTTTATATTTGAGGGCGGTTGTGCTCCGACGCTAAAAGCCGCCCGTCAAGAAGCGGAAGAGGGTATCGTCTCTTCCGTTGATAGCCTCTTGGCTAAAACCCTAATTAACCCTCAGTGTATTGACGCCGTTATCGTTACATGCGGCAGTTTCTCGCCGTCTCCGTCGCTCTCGTCGTTCATTGTGAACCGTTATAACCTTAAACCCGACGTGAAAACGTATGATCTGAGCGGAATGGGGTGTAGCTCCGGCGTGATTTCGGTTGATTTTGCGGCGAGGATTTTACGCGGCAAGCGAAAGGTCCAAAATGCCCTCGTCATCGCCACCGAGAGCATTACGCTGAATTGGTACACGGGGACAAATCGGTCCATGCTCGTCACGAATTGTATCTTCCGAGTAGGTTGCACGGCCGCCATTATCACTAACGACCCGGCCCGGAGACGAGTCGCGAAGATGGAACTCGTCGACTCGCTCCGGACCCACCACGGCGCGGACGACGCCGCGTACAGAGCCGCGTTTCAAGAGGAAGATCGAGACGGTCTCACAGGAGTTTCACTAACAAAAGACCTGATCAGGGTGGCCGGGGAGGGCCTACGTAAGCACATCACAATCCTCGCGCCACGAGTCCTCCCACTGAGTCAAATCGGGAGTTACCTCGTCTCAGCTCTGATAACAGCGCTCTCACCCGGCGGCGGCAAGTCAAAGCCGGCAATGGTGCCGGATTTGACGACGGCGTTTGACCACATGTGCATACACACCGGCGGGAAGGCGGTGATCGAACAAGTGGCGAGGGTTTTACGCCTGAGCGATGACGTGACCGAGCCAGCTCGGATGTGTTTGAACCGGTTCGGCAACACTTCTAGTAGCCTTGTGTTTTACGAGTTGGCTTATTTTGAAGCCAAAAAGAGGGTGAAGAAAGGTGACAAAATGTGGATGATAGCATTTGGGACAGGGTTTAAGGTTGGCAGTCTTGTCTGGAAGTGGATTCAAGATTCAGCACAAGAATCTGATAATCCTTGGAATGATTGCATACAAAGTTATCCTTTGAAGGCTTAGCTTCATGACTTATTACATATTGCTGGATTATTGATGATTGATTATGAGTCTTCCTTATAACCCTAAAAAAATTAAAATAATAATTTAAAAAATAAGAAATAATTTGTAAAAAATACAATTTCTGTATTCTTGAAACTTATTACATTAGCAGTTTACTTACCAACTACTCCAAATTAAACTATTGAATTATATACTTGTAATGTAATTTGATAATAAAGTCCACCGAGTTTTATGTTTATTTTGTTATATTATTTATTTGAGAAATGGACATACTTGCATGCTTAATATGTTCTCTCACAATTTTTTTTAATACTTAGCTGATTTCAGATTCGCAAAATTAATTTTAAACTCTCAAGACTCCACTCCTAGAGTCAGTGTAGAAGTAAATCGCGAGTAGCACAATATGTTCTCCCAATATTCATTATAGTACCATAAAACAATTATTATTTATATTATATGAAAAATTTTAAGATGGTGTTTTGCAACGGATACGACAACTCATAATATGTCTGTTTTCATCCGTCATTGGGTATTGTAGGAAGCATCCCATTAAGGGGATTGTTCACAATTTTTAAGAAATAGATACCAATTTGGAAGAAAAAGAGTAAAGAGAGAGAAGGTTCAAGTGTGTCTTGCACATGCTAGCCTGGGCGCGTAAATGTATTATTATTATTTTTTTTTTTCAGTTTTTGATTTTTATTTTTCTTTTTCCTTTTCTTTTTTCCCTCCTCATTTTCTCTTTCCTAATTACACCTACAAAAACTCCTCAAAAACTACACCAAAATCTCCCGTTTGACGATAAAGGATACAAGCTTTTTACTATCACCTCTAAATTATTTCCATTAATTCCGTGATTAACATATAATGGTGGCATTGCAAGTTTAATTAAGCCGTTTGAGTCTCATTTTTAATATAATTCAATAAATAAACAACAAGTACGACAGGAATATTATTTTTAGTATTACTGATTCTGTAACAATGCAATATCTGTTCATAACTGATTCTGTTATAATACACTATATATTTATAGTACGACAGAAATATTATTATCTACAAAGTACTTGACACTTTAATCTTCTTAGTAAATGCAAAATTAACGGTACAACCTAAACTGTACAAAAACCTTAATTGCCTCGCACAAAATACGTACTATCTACGCGTACGTGGAGCACTTATGTTGGTTGTTGAAAAATAATGAAGTTATTGAAGTGGTCAGCATAGTACTCATACCTAGATCATGAGTCTCATTAATATTTTTTGTCAAGCCTATCGCACTTGCTAGTTGAGATTTATAAATATGCACAACATACAATCATAAAGTGCTAATTAATGAATAAAAATGAACGGACATGATCTCATGAGGTTGGAAAGCTCCGATTGACACAATACAAGTTGGGCGAATCAACTTCCTTACACTAAGGTGGGTGTGCTATTTATATTAACAACCTGACATAATGATGATAATTGATAAGTTATCAAGAGAGTTAACTACATCACGTCCTTCTATTGGGCACTCAGACCAATTATAGAAAATATATTATGTGTACTCTTATTTTTTACTCTCAAAATTTTTTCAGACACAAAATCTTGAATATTTAATGTAAGTATTTGTATTGGGACCCACATGAAAAACGTAAATTATTAGTGTCCGTCACATCATGAAGTAAAATCAATTATTATACGTGTAAATTGTTGATGTGACGGGAGTGTGATGTGATGGTTAAACCGACCAATCAAGTAATGTTAATGTGATGGATGAGAGTGAACTGACCAATCAAGCAATGTTGATGTGACAGGAGTGTAATTTGATGGTCGAAATGACCAATCGAGAAGTTTTGATGTGTCGGGAGTGTTATGTGATGGTCGAAGTGACCTATCAAGCATCACGTAGTGGAGATTGAAAAACCTGCTGATATTGAGATTGGTAAGCTTACTAAAATTGATCCGAGAAGCCTATTAATATCAAGACGAGGAATCCTAGAGTTCAAATTTGTGACCTCCCATTTGGAAGGGCTATAATTATGCTGCTTGATCACAAGATCTTTGACAAGGTAAATGATAATTAATTGCACGAGCTTATTATGAAGGTTTTGGTTAGGGTTTGTGATTACAACCCGACTGCTTGTTTGGTTAACCCGTAACCTAATCATAAATTGTGATTATATATATTCGGGAAAAGGGTCAAATAGACCCTTGAACTTTACTCAAAAGTGCAATTAAACATTCGAACGTGTCATTTTGGGGCGTCTAAACCCAGTAGGCGATTATTCACCCAGAATAACCGGTCATTTAAAATTCCAGCGACGAATTTTTTTTAAAAAAAATAATCAAGGCCTTCTCAACCGGGGAAGACGACCAGCAGTCGCCTTCTCGATTGGAGAAGGCGACCTCTGGTTATCCTCTCCAATGGAGAAGGCGACCAGATCTAGTCGTCTTCTCCAGTGGAGAAGACGACCGGAAAATATCTTTTCGGTGGAATATTTTTTTATTTTTTTTTTGTTTTTGTTTTTAGCGGTGTGAATAGTGATTAACGGCAGTCAACGTTAATAATTTACCGGTAACCTATTGGTTACCAGTACATTAGACTTATTTGACTCATTTTAACAAGTTTGAGTGTTTAATTGCAGTTTTTTTAAGTTCAAGAGCCTAATTGCACTTTTGAGTAAAATTCAATGGTCTATTTAACCATTTTCCCTATATATTCTAACAATTGCCAGGTAGTCCTTGTAATCAATCCTAACTTGAAATCTCTTGATCGGAATTCATGGTTGCTTTATTGTTAATTAATGTATCATTTTTCTTGTTTCCTTACTGGGTTCTAATATTCAAGGTTTGATGTCACTTAACCAACTCAAATTAAAAACAAAAAACAAAAAAAAAAAAACAAAACAAAACAAAACAAAACAAACAAACAAATAAAAAACAACCACAAGTGTTGAGAACAAAAGAAAATTAGTTTGATTATTGTCAATACCATCTTAGTCGAGCTCTTTGCACATATATAGAGTCTTTCTAGTCTTTCTAGTGCGATGTATATTTTCTGTGTGGTTTGCGAACTATTACACATGAGTAGAGTTTACCCACTGCATATCCTTGTAAGTGGTTGTAGGTTTCCCTAGGTATAGATTGATTTAATATTGATTCAAAAATAATTTGGCCTCGAAAGGGATGGGCAAGTGAGTGGAGCATGATTTTCATATATACCAAACGATTATGGGTTTGATTCTTGCTTTCCGTATAATTTGTGAGCTATAATACATGAATGTGCAAACCATAAGATAGTGGTGGCAAGAAACATGTCATTTATCCTTTTGTGAACATAATGAATCGGAGTGTTTGGTTGGCATGAATTGTAATTCATTTGCAATGAAATTCAGCAGAAAACTACATTGTTTTAATTTGTTAGAGGGAATTACAATTTAATGTAATTGAAATTCATACCTCTCATATGAACTGGAAAAATGTACAAATAGGCTATTGAACAATTTGGGGATAACAATTAAGCTACCGAACTCGAATAAGCTTCAAATTGATCCATGAACTTGGAAAAAAAAAAATTACAATTAACATTTTTAACAGGCTAACAACAAATTTTTGCTGATTAGGATGCCATGTGTATTTTTATTTTAAATTTTATTATTATTATCCTACTTAAGCATTTGATCATTACTTTTTAAAAAAAAACTAAGATATTTTTTAACTGCGCAAAAATAAGAGCAAATGTGCCAGGGCTACATATACTAAAGGGAAAATTGTAATTTATGCCCCTCACAAATATGTCAATTATCAATGTCACTCCTGAATTATCAGTGGTGTAAATGTTGCCCCTCAATTTTCAAAACGTGACATATATTGCCCCTCCCCTAATATGAAGAAGGAGAAAAATTATTGTCGACGGAAGGAGAATAATTGAAGAAAGAAAAATTGAGGAAAACAACGTGGTATTCGAACAAGAAAGACGACGGGTAACCACATTTACATCACTAATAATTCAGGGGAGGGGCAATATATGTCACGTTTTGAAAATTGAGGGGCAACATTTACACCACTAATAATTCAGGGGTAACATTGATAATTGGCATATTAGTGAGGGGCATAAATTACAATTTTCCCTATACTAAATAAAAAAAACTAAAAATACGTCGAACGCTACTTGTTTAATAAAGAAGATAAACGCAGATCGACGGGGAACAGTCATGTCCTTTACCTCTCCTTCCACGTCCAAATATATTCAATATTCAATATTGAAATACGTATGGGATTTGAAATGCATATGCAATTCTTCATACTGTTCAATAAATTCAATTATATTGGACTAGATATGTAGTATCTTTCTCTGATCCTCCATTTCACTCCTAAGGGATATGTAGTATCTTTCTCTGATCCTCCATTTCACTCCTAAGGGGCGTTTGGTTCAGATTATTATTATCCTAAATGCTTTAACAATTGTTAGGTGTCAAATGCTTAGCTTTTTTTTTAGAGTCAAATACTTATGATGATGATGATGATGATGATGATGATGATGATGATGATGATGATGATGATGATGATTGATGATGATGATGATGATGATGATGATGATGATGATGATGATGATGATGATGATGATGATGATGATGATGATGATGATGATGATGATGATGATGATGATGATGATGATGATGATGATGATGATGATGATGATGATGATGATGATGATGATGATGATGATGATGATGATGAAAATAAATAAATAAATAAATAAATAAATAATACACATGGCATCCTAATCAGCAAAAATTTGTTAAACTGCTAAAAGTACTAATTGCACTTTTTTTCCAAGTTCATGGATCAATTTGGAGCTTATTCGAGTTCACTTAATTGCTATCTCCCAAATAGTTCAATGTCCTATTTGTACTTTTTTCCAAAGGAAAGGGAACAAAAAAGAAAATGACATTTTTTCCTTGATTATTATTATTATTATTATTATTATTATTATTGATGAATTGATGAATACCCAATACCCCTCCATAACCTCCCAATTAAATACCTTATTAACTACCCATAAAACTCCATTTATACTCATTTATCACCCATTAAGGCCCACTAACCACCCATTTACTACCTCTTAACACCCATTAAATCCTAAAAAAAAACAGCCTATTTACTACCCTTGAAAACCCCCCACCCATGATCTTTTCAAGAGATGACTCCATCTCTCTCGGCAGAAAAACAACAACAACATGGACTACAAAAAAAGGCAAAAATTCCGTCGCTAAATCGATTAGCGACGGAATCGGTCCATCACTAAAAGTGTCATCGTTAAAATTTTGCGACGCAGTCTTTTTCGTCATTAAATTTAGCGGCGGCTTTTCCGTCGCTAAACTTAATTATATCTGTCGCTAATTTTCTTCCCGCGATAATTTGAATGATGAAATTTGTTAGGAAATAGCGACGGAAATTCCGTCGCTAAATGTAACGACGGATATTCTATCGCTATTTTATTTCTATAGGTGCCATTTAGCTACAGCTTGGAGATGAAAATATCCGTCGTTAAATTTAATGACGAAAATTTCCGTCGTTATTTCGTTGTTATCCTTTATTGTTAGGAGGTATTTAGTTATGGATTTACTACGGTTTTTGTTCGTCGCTAAATTTTTAATATTTAGAAAAGAATCTACCAATTAATTAATATCACATACATGTATTAATAATATAATACTTCAATAATATAATTGCAAAATATATTATAATAAGAAATTAAATGTCAATAACAATAACAAAAGTATAGCATTGTAAAGTGTTACATTGTTAACCAAATATATTAATACACAATATAATCTCCCCTAAATTTTTAACATTTGAATTAGCATAATGCTCAGTTTGGCACTCACTGCAAAATGTGCTACGAACAACTTTTCAAAAATCGCCAGTTAATATTAATTGGTGAAGATTATAGACAAACTTCATGTGCACCTAAAAAGACAATTAGCAAATTTGATAGTTAACCCAAAATTCAGAAAATAAGGCATTGACATGCCAGAAAATGGAAGCAAAGAACTCTGTTATCAAACGGATACCTCAAGAACTTCATCAAATTCCACAAGACTCTTTCTTATGCCAAAATATAAACATAAAATTTGGCCTTACAAAATTTAGCGATACGGATTATTCAATCCGTCGCTATATTTAGTGACAAATTCAAAAATCGGTCACTAAATTGTAGCAATCATATTTTTACAATTTTTGGAGTTAGCCGTGAATAATTCGTCGCTAATGTGACACTATATTTTGCACTAAAGTTTGCCGCTAAGATTAACTATGTGTTTAACGACGGAAATATTCCGTCGCAATATCCATCGCAAAATACCTATTTACTGAAAAAAATTAACATTCGTCGCTAAAATGTTACTATTCCGTTGCTATAGTAGCAACATAAAATTTCCATCCCTATATTAGCAACGGAAAATTTCCGTCGCTAAATCCGTCGTTATATAGGTTTTTTTTTGTAGTGATGTACAAATATGTATCACAAGCAAAATAGAGAACTTTTGGCATGACACCGCCAAAAAGACACGTGATTTTCACCTTTTGATTTATATTTACTGTGTCAATTCTTGTTTACTGTGTCAATTCTTGTTTCTATTTCTTTTTCATACTCTATTTTCCAATGATCTACTATCTTTCTCGATTGTGTTGGACCCCGGTTGACTGTCCAAAAAGTAGCAAACCAACAATTATTATTATTATTATTATTATTATTATTATTATTATTATTATTATTATTATTATTATTGCATAAGAACATTTTTGTTTTTATATCACTTCTTCTCTTCCCATTCTTTATAATTCTATTTCACCATATCAAACAATGAAATTTGAATTTTTATTTTATTCTCATCTTATTCTTTTCCTACTAAATTACAATTCATTTCCTCTCTAATTCGCTCTTAGCCTCCTCCCAACCAAACGCTATGTTAGTAATAATTCATAACTGTTTTGTGTATAACATGGTCTTGTTAGAAGTTAAAGTTCAAAGTCGAATGTTATATTACATCAGGGAATGTTAGATTGTTGAGAATGTTAGATTGTTGGAAATGTTAGATTACTGAGAATGTTAGATTCCTGTGTTTGGTTTAAAACTGAGGTATGTAATATAAATCTGTTTGGATGAAGAGTTAATTTTTTATGATATGATGATGATTTTTACTTGAATACTATATATTAACCTATTTTTATGTATTTTAATAAATTTAAAATTAAAATAAATAAACAAGACAATGGTAAAGTATAAAAGTAAATGATTTAAAATTAATTAACTAACAGCACGTTTGGTTCACGGAATGAATTTGGAGGGAATAGAAATGCTATTCCACATGGAATGGAATAGGTAAGGAATAGAATATGAATTGTATTCTGTTGTTTGGTTGGCTGAAGGAATAGACTTTAGTAATTGTATTCCAGTGTTTGATTGGTTAAAGGAATAGAAATGGAATAGATTTTAAAGACATAAATACCCTTATACATAATAATAATAATAATAATAATAATAATAATAATAATAATAATAATAATAATAATAATAATAATAACAACGAATATGATTATGATATACTGAATGTTATATATATATATATATATATATATATATATATATATTATTTTTTTATATATTTATATATTTATTTATTTATGTTTATATTTGTATTTATATACATGTATATGTATGTGTGTGTGTGAGAGAGAATAACAATAATAATAATAATAATAATAATAATAATAATTATTATTATTATTATTAGTATTATTATTATTATTATACAAATACATATTTATTTTTATATTTATTTTCTCACTTATCCCACATCGGTTGGAGAAGTAAGGAATGGAGCCTTGAGGCTCCTATAAAAGGAGTCTCAAGGCTCCATAATTTCAATTGCAATGCTCATCCGCTAGGCAAGCTTACAATGCTCATCCACTAGGCATGCAGATGAGCAGACTACTTAATTTAGGAGCCAAGACTCCATAATTAAGGAGTCTTATACATTTATTTTTTTTTATTTTCATATATATATATATATATATATATAATAATAATAATAATAAACTGTCACGGTCGATTTTTTGAGAAATTACTTTTCACACACACACACACTCACACATTTTGTAGCGTTTGCAATTGGCATTTTGAGAAAAAAAAAAGTAATTTCTCAAAAAACCGACCGTGACAGTTTATTATTATTATTATTATATGTATATATATATATATATATATATATATATATATATATATAATATATATATATATATATATATATATATATATATATTTTGATAGATTGATGGATAAAAATTATAATTAATTAAATATATACATTTATATAATACACTATATTTATTAAATATATATATAAATATTATATAATGTGCAAAGGGTATTTTTGGTATTTATGATATAAAAGCTATTCCCAAGGGCATGGGAATAGCTAATACCAAGGCCCCCCTAGGAATGGCTATTCTCCTTGCGAAGGTAATAGCTCATTCCTAGGCATGCTATTCCCATGACAAAATAATCCAACCAAACGATGGAATAGGTCTATTCCAAGGAATGCTATTCCATTCCTGACCTATTCCATGAACCAAACATGCCATAAGAGTTTGAACAATAATTAACTAAAGCAATGGATTAAAAATGACAAAATTAGCAGTAACACAAGGGAATGTGAGAATACCTAAAAAAAGAGAGGGTATCTAGCATTCCCTTGCAATAGCTAAAAACCTTATGCGGATGTTACATTTTCAGAAAAAATTACATAACTTGAACCAAATATGAAAATATTATATTACCAAGCAAATATAACATAGGTTATCTTATATAATCTGAACCAGTGCTAATTTGATCCTTATCCCTAAAAAATATCATACCGTATTATTATTATTACAAAATTTGGGGTTCCAAATGAAATTATTCCTTTTTATTTATTTATTTGGTTTTTAAACCCGTTATAGCATACCGAAAATAACCGAATCTTCAACTCCAAATCTGACTGAAATTCATTCTGCATTTCTTCCCCCAAAGCCGTTAATCATTATGAGTAGCAGTAACAATTCACTGACGTCTTCGCCGGCAAGGTCTTCAATATCTACGACGGCGATTGTCGGCGCTAACGCGACAGCGGCGGCGTCTCTGCCTGTTGACGACTACCACTTCCCCGCCGATCTCATATCAATTCAAGATCGAAAGGACGAGGCTCTTCAAGGTCAGTCTGTTGAATCCCCATTTTGGATTATTTTATGTTCTTGATCATCCAGAGATTCAGAAATTTCATTTTAAAGGCGTTCCATAAGCTTGTTTCTTTACAAATGATATTTAAAATATGAATAATCGTATAAACAATTTTGATTTTTTCTCATTATTGTTTAGTTAATTTCTGGACTCCTTGTGGATTGTTTGAGCCTTAGGTCCAGTATGCATCCATAATTAATTCCAGGTTTAATTAGCAGATTTGGCATGTATAGTTTATGTTTCACACTTATTTGAGTAATAAAATACCATAATCCTCATTTTGATACAAACTTATTACTTACCAAAACTATAACTTCAGACATATGCCAATGCTAAACAGCAAAGGACATTTCCCAAATTCTGTTTTTTGTATATTGCATAACTTCTGACATATGTCTTCAGTTCTCAAAACTGATGTGATGGTTGCACTCAATAAAGTGGCTAAATCGCTTGATGAAGATAGTTGGATGTTTGATGGACCTCGGTCTCGTATGCACCTTATTTCAAGACCAGGTATCACTGCGCAAAAAACTATAGCTAGTAATGAACCATACATGACTCTACTGGGTGCTGGATTTGGTCATTTACCAGTCTCCGTCCAACAATTTCCCCTCTCAGCACCTGCCACCTGGCTCTGATACCACTTGTTATGATTAAGCGTTTACCACTACACCAAAAGCTATAACTAGTAGCGAAGGTGCAACTTTATTTTTCTTATACCACCACACATTTTCGAGAGGCATAGTGCTTGACTTGGCCCTTCATGCCTCCGCCCAACTGTAACGATCCAATCTCACTTGGATCCTGCAAGTCTCAACTCGTATTGATTTCCAGCATGAAAGGGTTACATTTAGAAACAATACTCTGATAGATCGCTGCTTTACTTCTGTTCTGTTTGATGTCAAACTCATTTTCTACTTTGGGTAGTTTTTTTTTTTTCTTGGAAGGGAATGAAAATTGAACCTAAAACCTCATACAGGAGTCATAGGCTTATGTTGCTAGACAAGTAAATCTTTTGTTGTTTCAGATTTCTGGTGTACAATGTTCTTATTGATTAACCATTGACAGGTAGTTTTCTTCAGAAGCGGATAGATATAGCAAAAGGGCAGAGTTTTGCACCACCAAAATGATGGGAAAAAAAAAAAAAAAAAAAAAACCTCATAAGCAAGATAATTATTTCCTTTTTTAATGTAATTTAATCTTCTTTGGGGGGGGGGGGGTGTGGGGTCTGCTTTCTACAGTTTTTGTATGTAATTTAATTTTTTTTTGGGGGGCGGGGGGGTGTTCAGCTTTCTACAGTTTTTGTATTTTTAACTGCTACTATGGGTGACAAACACTTAGATGTCAATCAAGCTTTGTGCATTGTGACATCGAGAAAGCTCAAAAGTAAATCAACTTAGGTTATTCATAACTGATTGGCTCAAATTAATAAGATTAAGAGTTGAACTTGAAACATTGTAATTACTAAGCCAACCACTCGATCAACTCAACTAGGATTGCCCGTGATTATTGGCATAATGGTATGCAACCAACCTAATAAGGTTTCCTTGAAGATGAGGGCATTCCCTATCATTGTGACATTTGCCCTTAGCTTGTTTATTGGGAATGTAGTAACAAAGTAAACTACCACAAGTCAAAGAAATGGTGCTCTAGATGAAAATAGATTAGGTATTTAAGTGATACCATTTCAAAAGATTAGAAAGTTATAAAAAGAGTTAATTCCATTTTTGATCATTTATAGGTGACAGTTCAATTTTAGTTATTTCTTTTTTTTTTTTTTTATCGAAATATTTCCTTTTGGTCCTAGTATTATTGTGACATAACCAATTTTGGTCTTCTATCAACAAAATTGTTGAAATTTTGTCAAATTGAATGACATTTTGATCTTTTTAATACAAAATGCGTTGACCCATTATATTTTTTATGTTTTTTTTTTTTGAAAAAATTCATAATTAAAGAGCGAAATGCCCTTATATTTAATGGAATTTTAACGATTTTTCTTTATAAAGAACCAAAATTGGTCATGTCACAATAATACTAGAATTAAAAAGGGATGTTATGATAAAAATAGACTAAAAGTGGACTACTACCTATAAATCTAGGACCAAAAATGAAATTAACTCTTTATCAAAACATATGAAGAGAAAATTCTATATGATAATATATCACGGGATTCTTGTTAAATTGTATTACCAACTCATAGACTAAAAACTTTGGGTTGGTCGGATTTAACAAAGGAAGTCAATATTTATTTAGAAGCTTGTCAATCAATATTTATTTAGAAACTTGTCAAATCAATATTTACTAAGAAACTTGTCAAATTGTTGCATAATGCTGCATTAAATAAATATTCAATGATACCGCATAAGAGTAGAAACAAAGTTAGGTGGGACAGAGTCCTAATACGAGTTAGCTTGAGAATAGGCTACCGAAACTAGAAAGCGAGTAAAATACGATCGTTTGAATATTCATAACCAATAATTCTAATTTGAAAATGCCTAGTACCCCTAGCCTACATTTATCACTTATAGATGTGGCAAGTTTTAATTGATTTGTTTTTTTCTTTACTTCTTTTCTATTTCATATTTTAACTAATTATAGCTTACCACATTAGGAAGTGACAAGTTTGTGAGTGGCAGGTGTAGAGGTGCTAAGCATTGTCCATTATAATTAGGTACACTATTGGAATTACTTGGAATTTTAACCACTAAACAAGCTTTCCGACCATTTTTGGGATTCACAAAAATTATTTTCAGTTATTTTAATTTGACCACTACTATAAAAATAGTTGTAATTTCTAACTACTTTTTTGATGGTTGAAAAGTTTAGTTGTATAGGATGTCAATATGAACCCTAATTTTCTAACTATCAATAGTCGAAAAGATTTTTTTTTTTTTTTTTAAAGGCATGCTTGCCATTAGATTATCCAACAACCCCAACAAAAGATACTAAAAATCAAATTTTTTTTTTTTTTGGTCAGAAATACAAAATTCTAATGGTTACCAGCCTCATGTAGAAACTAACTAGGCTTTTAATTGTTGGAAAAACATTCAAAAGTGTGATGTTCAAGAGACTTGTTGTTCATATTGCTTTCAAATGAGTCTTTTTATCCACCTTTTAAATTACAAATTTTCTACGAGAGTTTGAAATATTTTGGAGGGAAAGTAAAGGGGAAACCCACGCGTGCCGCCATCGCCTGCCTGGCTCGGTTCGCACGCGTGTGAGGCGTAGTGTGACACTTTTTTTTTTTTTAATTTATTTCACCCTTTATTCATTTCTGAGATTTTCGCAGACTTTCCCATCCAGAATAATTATTTTCGTAAACAATTTTCATCTAGAATAATCTTATTAATTTTCGTGGTCATGTTCTTGCTTCTGTTCCGTTAATTTTGCTATGTTTATGGCTGGAATATAATTGGGTTAGACAGTTATATTCAAGGTTGTAAAAATCGGTCTAGGCGCCTCTAGACCGTGGCGATTTCTCCCCTAGGCGCCGGCCTAAGTTACTGGCCGCCTAGGCGTCCGCCTAGCGCCTAACTCGGCCGATTTGGCCGCCTAGCGTCTAAGTTAGTCGAGTGAACTCGTCCATTTCGGTCGAGTTAACCCGATCGGCTCGGCCTATTTTTATTATTATATATATGTGTGTGTGCGCGCGCACATACATATATATAATATGACATATATACACTCGTAGACTAGTTTGATACTTTGAATCTTTGGATGATTGAAGTATTTGAGTATTTTTAATTTTTAATATTGTTTTAATGTTTTTTTTTTTTTTTGAAAACCATTGTTTTGATGTTATGACTTATGAATTATCATTAATTCATTTATTTGGATGTGTTATTTGATTAAATCTTGAAAACAACCTCATTAAAATTGTCAAACTGCAAGTCTACTACTGTTTTTTTGGCGCCCGCCTAGATTCCGCCTAGGCGCCGACTAGACCGCCTAGGCGCTAGGCGCTGTCCGGGCGCCCGACTAGCGCCTAGCACCTACTGCAACCATGGTTATATTTGAGACTATATATACCGCCTTCCCTTGAGCTCAGAATCATCAATTCACTTCTTTTCTTCTCTTCTTCGTTCTTCTCTTCCGTCTGAGCACAAAGTTCGTCAAGTTCTATCTGCGTATTAAGTGTGCTTGTTAATCGTAGTTAGTCGTGTACCGGATTTAAAGATAGCACAGTCTCCAAAAATTACTTTTAAGGTAGTATTTTGTACACGACACAAATTTTCCTTTACGATTTCCTTTATTCTAAGCCAGCAGTTTTTCACTTCAACATTTTTTCTTAAAATTTCCAACATTACTTTCCAACAAATCAAAAACAAGCTAGGTAAACAAACCTATAGAATTTTTGTAGTTTTTGCTATTTAGACCAAAAAAAAAAAAAAAAAAAAAAAAAAAGACCATTGAATTTTCACATAACCAAGATTTTTGAATTTCTATGAGGAACCCTCTCACTTTGAGAAATTCTCTCAGAGATTCATATTTTCTAAATAATCTATGAGGTTCTTCGTATAAATAGAAATTTTTTTTTTGGGTAGTCAGATAACTTAAATTCAATCATGTGCATTCAACCTAACATATGCCTAGCTTAGCTTCCTTGAGGATGAGGGCATTTCCCAACATAATAACATTTGCCCTACGTTTACTAGAAATGAAGTAAAGAGTTGCATCCATGGTTATTGCATTTTTTTTTTTTTTTTTGAAAACAATGGTTATTGCATTAAGTTGGGATTTTGACATTTTGTCAAGCTAATAATGAGTGAGCAAGAAAAAAAAATGTTGTCAATTAACTTGATTCGCCTAGCAGGTGCGTGAAAGGTACACACCGGTTGGATGTGCTTGGTGCACCAAACATGCATGATATGAGATATTAGCCATTATTATTATTATTATTATTATTATTATTATTATTATTATTATTATTATTATTATTATTATTAATTTTCTCAAGCATTTAATTACCTAATTAAAGAAAATTTTGAAAACACATCAATAGCAATCGTTTTCATTACGTTTATGACAATACTATTTTTTTTACGCGCTTTACACGAATGAAATAATGCTCAATGATTATTTTTAAATAAGTATTTCAAAGTATAGTATTTCAAAGTATATCAATGCAATATTATATCGGAGATGTTCATGCATAAGTAAATAAATATTGAATTTGTTTATTTAAATCGATAATTTAAAATATATATAAATGCAAGATAATATATGAGAGATTGATTACCTGATTGGCACTGTGTTGATTGTGTTGTTATACTTGATTGGCGAGTACTGCTTGGTTCCCTCGTATACACTACTTCCTAAACTTAAATCTAGTCCAATCTATCTATGAACATCAAGCTGGGAAGGAATTGTAAGTAGTAACAGCTATTTAGTAATGATTTCAATTAGGTGGTAAGAATTGAAGTTAATCAAAGTTTGTTCTCATAAAGTTAAAGAATTTAGGATTTCATATTATAATAACTAAATCCTTGCAAATCTACCACCTAAAATTGAATTTGTACCTGAGATCGATATAATTTATGATTTCACAATGTCTTTTTTTTTTTTTTATTAGATTGTTTTGTGTACAGTCCAAACGTACAATCAGCTATTATTAACTATTAGTTAACTCGATCAGCTATCAACTACCAGCTATTACTCATTTGCCAAACATCCCATAGTGTGCCATTATTGGCATCAACCGTGAAGATACCCAAAATATGAGGACACCAAGTGTTCAAAATGTTTACAATCATAAAACCACACATTGGAATTGGTTATAAGAAATTCAAATCTATTACCATTTTAGCATCCCAAATTTTTTGGTTCTATCTGTTCCCTGTTTTGTTGCACCCTACATCCTGCAATAAGTGATAGAAAACAACAGTCTAATACAAACAATTAGATAAATAAATAGTAAAGAAACCAAGCATGAATATAGGAGTAATTGAAAGCAAAAAAGAAAAAAAAAAAAAAAAAATTAGCTATCGCCAATCGAAGAGTCCATTTGAAATCAACCGCATTATATCGCAAATCGAAGACTCCAAAGTTAAATCACAATAAATATCAAACAACGCGTATAAACAAACAGACAAAGACGTTCTCTTTGAGCGGGGATTGGAGCCAAAAATTGTGATCAGACCATTCTGCTTTATTATAGTTATTAATTGTGGCCAGATCATTCTGCTTTATTATAGTTATATAAGAAGATAAGAAGATAAGATAATAATTGTGTAAAATATCAAAGTTTGGACTATTCAACACTATGTACTAATAATTGTTGCTACTTGCTAGGAAAGTGTGTTGCATAATGTACAATGATACATCGTTTTCAGTTCTGCATCAATCACCGGACCACCGCTACCGGCCACCGAAGAGAAGCGGAGAAGCTCATCGGAGAAGAAATCGTCGCCAGAAATGGAGAGAAGCTTATCGGAGAAGAAAGAAAAGATAAGTAAAATAACTAAACTACCCTCATTATTTGACCTATTGAATTTTTCCGGTGAGATTTCGCCGGCAATTTGACGGCGTGACCAAAATTGATAAAAATTGCATAATCAATGTATTAAATTAATATTTTTGAAAGTCAAGTGTTGCAATTTACACAATTCCAATAGTCAGTGGACTAAAATTGAATTTTTTTTTTTTTAATGTAGTTTACATCCCTTTTGTGGTTGCGTGCTATTATACAATCAACACTGCTGGAAATTATGAAATTTCCGACCATCTGAAAGTGATCTTAAATCAAGTTGAAAGCCTTGTTCCGACCACTTTTGGTATCAGGAAAAATCTTTGTTGCTATTTCTGACCACTTTTTGTTTTAAGATAACTTTCAGGTGGTCGGAAATTCCATAATTTACAGTAGTGCAAGTCACTAAATTTTAGCTATCTATTTAGAAAAATAAAAATGGTGTAAAATATGAAAGTTTGGACTATTCAACACTAATAATTGTTGCTAGGAAAGTGATAAAATTGCATATACTGTACAATGATACATCGTTTTCAGTTCTGCATCAATCACCGGACCACCGCTACCGGCCACCGGAGAGAAGAGATTCGGCGACGGAAGTAGAGCCGGAATAAAACCCACTACTTTTCATGGAAGATTTATGCGACAATACAAAAGAATCAAATCCTTCGGCTCGAGAATACATGATGTCATGGCTACTGGAAATCCCCATGGCTGACAGCTCCGGCAACTCCCCGTCACCGTCCAAGTACTGAACCACTTGCCGGATCGTCGGCCGGCGGCCGGAATCTGGGTGAGAGCACAATAACCCAAGCTTCAGAACCAACTCCGCTTCACCTTTCGCATAACCCATACCCAAATTTTGATCCATCGCTTCAACAACATTCCCTTTCGCCCAACACGAAAACACCCAATCCACCAACACAAAATCCTCGGACTCTTTCTGAGGTTGTATGGGCCGTTTTCCGGTCGCCACCTCCAGCAAAAACGCACCGAATGCATACACGTCGGTGCTCGTCGTCGCCTTCCCGGTTCTGGTCTGCTCCGGTGCAAGATAACCTAATGTTCCGACGATATGCGTCGTGTGTGGGTCTGTTCCATGATCATACAATCTCGCTAATCCAAAATCTCCAATTTTTCCATTAAATTCATTGTCCAGTAAAATATTGCTAGCTTTTATATCTCTATGGATCACGACTTGCTCCCACCCTTCATGTAAATACAGCAGCCCAGAGGCCACTCCTTTCACCACTGCAAACCTGCGACTCCAGCTTAGAATGTTGTCGTTTGGTCGGTTGTATAAATACCTGTTAGTATAATATTTGTATTGGTGTTAACCTTAATTATTCTAATAGAAAATGATATAATATATACGAAGGGTATTCTCTACAATATACGGTCTTAGGCAGTTCCAGATTCAAATTCTATACCTAGTCTATTGGTTTAAGTGGAAGAGTAGATCAGAGGTCCTCCAGTTAATAGCTAGTGTGTGGTAGCCAAAAGTCCCTCGACCCAGTAAAAAATGATGTATTTATAGTGGTAGTGGGAGAGACACGTCCCGGCTCAACTGCATGTGCGGCATGTGGAGTCCATGCACGGGTCCAGGCTTGGCCTAAGGGGCCTTGGCCAAATACCCTGATGCTTATGAGCGCACTGCACTATGCAACGGGACACCAGTAGGTCAGTCCGACCTAGACAGGTCGGGGCGTCAGTTAGTCGGTACCGTGACACTGCCCATGAACGTAACCTTCAATCCTGCTCGGTAGCTAGGCACTACAAGGTCAAGAAAGCTCAAGCTTTAGGTCGGTCGTGGTCGGGTCAAGCTCAACCTGCTCAAGGTGTCTGGCACCGACCATCCTATACGCACAGGGTCCCGGGAATAATATAATCCCCATCAGAAATAGGGATATTGATAATAAGTTAATTATTGATTGTTTTGAATACAATAATTCATTAAGTAATCCTCCTATGAGACCACCTCAGATATTTTTATTCATGAGTCTGTTCGGGTCAAGATCGGAATGTAATACTTACGCGGGAGAATGTAATATTTTTCAGTATAAATATTAAATTTAATTTTCTTCATGAATCCTTGTTCTTAAGACGATTTCACACAAATATTTGCCTAATTTATAACACAAACGACTATACATATGTACTTTAAAACTTATTGTATTATATATAATTCAAAAAATTAATTTAATATTAAAATTTATTAATTTGTGAATATCAAAACTTACTTGAATTTTTTTCAATATATACCTGTCTAGACTTCCATTGGGCATGTACTCATACACCAAGAACAGCTCCCCTTTCCGGCGGCAATAGCCCAGAAATCTCACCAAATTCCGGTGGCGCAACCGCCCAATACTCACCACCTCCGCCACAAATTCCCTTATCCCTTGCTTTGAATCATGGGACACTTTCTTCACTGCAACTTCAACCCCTATCGCAGGTAATAAACCTTTGTACACCGACCCAAACCCCCCTTTCCCCAACAATTCACTCTCTCTGAACCCTTTGGTCGCCATGTACAAATCCTTGAACTTAAACCTGTGAGGCCCAAACTCCTGCTCCCAATCTTCTAGAACCTCTTCAAATTTCTTCCTCCTCCCAATAACATAAACTGCAGCGAAACCTAGTACTGTTAATGCCATGAAACATAGTATTGGCAGACCGGTTTTGTAAAACAATGGCGTTTGTTTTCGACCCAGATGAGGAATCTTGGGTAGCTTGGAGAGATCTAGATCTGTGGCTCTTCCATTCATCTTGAAGCTCCACCCGGCAACATAGAAATCAGAGGTCAACTCTGGGCCTGTGGCGGCGGAGAATCCAACGTAGGATTCTTTAGCTAAGACTAAGGAAATGTCGAACGAGAAAGTCAAGAGAGGAGTACTAGGTTTTGGGACTCGGAACGGAGCTAAAGTAACGTTAATCTGGTTGGAAAAACCGTCGTAATCAATCCATGCCTGCAATGGATGCTCGCTTAGAAGTGTTAAGTTTTGAATCCTGCCTTTCTTGTCCACATAAGCAACTCGTTTCTGTACCTGCGAACAAGCATACAATCCAACTATCAATTTAAATTTTTAATTGGGAAAGAACATATACTCTAATTAATTTGCTATCAAAATTAACCCTATGTGAAAAGTATCAAAAGTAATCGAATCACATACGTGAAGGCAGTGTTGCAAAAATTTCACCTAAATGTCCATTAATTCCAGACTAAGCATTAGACGCTGGCCAACGCCTACTGTATCACCATAATAGGTGGCCGGTTTAGGTAGTTGACCAGCTAGACACTTGACTAGGCTGTTTAAGCACGGTCTAAACCGCCTAAGCGCGGATCGGACCGTCTAGGTCTCTTAAGTGCCCAGCATCTAGGCCTCCTAAACGCCAATCATTATTGTGTGGATCATGGTCCACACAAGATGTGTGGACCATATTTTGTATACAGTAAAATAATGTATATTCAGTACAAAAATAATGCACATTGTATTCAAGAGATGTACATTATTTGTGTACTGAGTGTACATTATATTATATAATGTATATTCAATACAAAAATAATGTATATTTAGTATATTAAAAATGTACTTTCTGATATGATTCACACAATACTATGTAGATCATGACACACACAATAATTTGCCCCTAAACCCCGATTATCAACTTATTATGCTATTAGTCAAAAACCCTTTTACAACTCAAAAATACCCTTTTAGTGTCTAACTTTCGTTAGTAAGAAATAGCCAGATTTTCAGGCAATTGTACCTTAGACTCCATGTCGTTTATGTCGATTCCGACATGATCATCGGTGAGGTCGTGAAACTTGCGCGTCTCAATCGCGTCGAACTCAACGGCGAAGATCCGGTTGCTGGAACTCCCCTTGCTGCTGTCGTTCATGAGGCCCATGAACTGTCCGGCGGCTCCGACCACCGAGAGGTTTGTGGTCGGAGAGATGACAAACGCCATGCCGTGGCCGGCCTTGGTGGCGTACAGAGGAACCATGGCGAAGACGAAGGTGGTGGAGAAGGAGGAGATGTTGTTGAAGTTGATGGGGTGGGTGTAGAAGGCATGGCCGGTGGAGAAAGTGGTGTCGTTTGTGAGCTGCAGTAAGGCGGCGTGGGGTGATAAATGTGCGAGGCCGTCGAAGGTTATGTCGGTGGTGGAGGTGGGGAAGCCATTGTAGGTGAACTGTGTGGTGTCTGAGGCGGCGGCTGCAAAGGGCAGAGTTAGAGGGCAGAGAGAAGAGAGAAGTACAAGAATCATAAGAGGAGGCATGGCTAAATATCTGCAACAGTGGAGGAAGAAGATGGAGTTGAGGAGAACTCAAGGATGTTTTGTTGTTTAAGGAGGATCAAACATGTATAAATATTTTATTCATAATTTAGTATTAATTTTTTAGTATTAGTATTATAATTTATCTTGGTCCGACTCGTTTTATACAAGTTTATTCCTATAAATTGTGATTTATTTTTTCTTGAAATAATAAAAATTATTACTTTAGGGGTGTATAAATTGTAATTGGCTTCATTTCGTCTTCAATGGAGAAAAGTCTCCCATTGAGAATGTAGTAGATCCAATAGGTCTCACCTTAACATTTGGTAAGTTTGGGCTCAATTTCTTCCTTTTTAAAAATAAAGTTTAATAGTGTAATTAATATAGCTTTAATTCATGATTCCATAGCCTGGGGCAAATTATGCTGTGCATCCGTATGCACCATGCATGGTGCATACGGATGCAAAAACGACGTCGTTTTAATAAAATGCGCGTCTCCCCTTTAAAAAAAAAAAGTAGGTTCGATTTCCAGCAACAACATATGAACTAAAATTCCATAATCGATGAACTATAATTCCATAATCGATGAACTATAATTCCATAATCTAATCTATGAACTAAAAATTCCAGAATGAATGAACTAAAATTCCATAATCTATAAACTAAAATTTCAGAATCGATGAACTACAATTCTATAATCGATGAACTATAATTCCATAATCAATGAACTATAATTCCATAATCTATGAACTAAAATTCCAGAATCAATGAACAATATAATGTTGTTGCTGGGAATCGAACCTGATTTTTTTTTAAAGGGGAGACGCGCGTTTTTTAATAAAACGACGTCGTTTTGGCATCCGTATGCACCATGCATGGTGTATACGGATGCACAGCATAACTATTGATAGCCTTCGGCGTAGGTAACTTTTCATGAAGCATGAGTACATGGCCCATAATTAACCGAGTTCTATCATGCATACTTTCTGATATGACAAACAAAAATTAGTTATTTTCTGGCAATCTCCCTTCTCCGCCGGTCTCTCTCGCATCCTTGTTCGACAGTAGCAATGAACACCCAAACACCATCAAACATGAGCACCTCTCACCATACAATTTCCAAGCTAAACCACTGCCACGTCCATGCAACCGAAGGAGATGCTCGTCAAAGCTGATTTTGTCGCTGCCCGTCGTTGCCGTCTCTGCCTCTTCGCTGATGCACACCAGTCGCCGTTGACGAGAAGAGGCAAAGTCTTCGCCGATGGTATAATAAGATGTATCCAAAAACAATATCTAGCAAAGTTTATTCCACCAGAAATTCGTAATCTAAAGTGAGATTTGCTTTAATTTGGGTGCACAAATTCTCTATGACCAATAAATATTTTCGGTGGTGGCCTTCTCGGCGGAGAAGGTAACCCAGATCTGGGTTACCTTCTCTGGTTGAGAAAGCCACCACTGTGGTGGCCTCCTCGACCGGAGAAGGCAACCCAGATCTGGGTTGCCTTCTCTGATCGAGAAGGCCACTAATGGTGGCCTTCTCCGGCGAGAAGGTGACCACAGTGGTTACCGGAGTCCGTCAACGGTCGTCGGTCACTTTTTTGTTTGAAAATACGTCAGAAAATGGTCGAATCTTCAATGACCTATGATAGTAGGTTATTTACTTGTATTTGAACTTTATTGCATCAAAATATATTGTTTATGGGTATAATTACACCTTTTAAAAGGAGCTAATTGACTCTTTAACAAATGTTTGAGGGTCTATTTAAATCTTTTCCCTTTTTCAAATCTCAAAACAATTCGGAATTCGGAAACGCTATTTCCTATTGAAATTTTTGAAAGGTGGATTGAATCATCTTATGGGGAGTAGCGAGTAGGTTAACCTATTGAAATGTTGACATCAAATTCTTACCTAATAAAATACAATTAGAATATTTGAAGTATTTCAATTCCAAGTACTAAGACAAAGATACAATGCATAAACATCCAAATAACATAAATGCAAAATACTTGCATATCTACCTTCTAACTCTTCTTCCCAAAAGGTTGAATCTCAATCCCAAGGGCTCCCCACATTCCGATGCACACAAACGATCTGTCCATTTTGAATATAATCTCCGCACTGCATTCTAACTCTATACAATGAAGGGAGACCTTGTGTGCCACCAATTTAGATTGCATGAATATAATATTCTTTTCAAGCTTTGAAAGACAAGTAGATATCTGTGTATGAGTGTATGTGTGTTTAGAGCATCCGCATCAGTTGGAGAGATTTGAGAAATAATGTAAGAGTGATTAGGAAAGAGAAGGTGGGAACTGGGAAGGGGAGGAAAAAAGGAAAAAAAAAAATAACAAAACTGAAATTTTAAAAAACAAAATAAATAAAAAAAATGAAGCGTCATGCGCGTGCAGTGCACGCGCCCGTGTGACCACAGGCTGTGCGCGAACCTGTGTTGTTGTTTTTTTTGTTTTTGTTTTTTTTTTTTTTTTTTTTTTTTTGTTTTTGTTTTCTGCCATTCTTCCCAAATTTGCAGGAGAAATAACTTGCTAATTAACCCCACCCCACATCTATAAATAACCCCACCTAAATTATTTCTTCTTACATTAATCCCATATTATGCTCTATTGTGGTTGCTCTTAATACACGTCCATAAATATACATCATTTTGCCCTACAACGACATTCAGTAAACAAGAAAGATTAATCATTATAGGAATTTAAATTATGGGAAAATTATTTCTATGTTTGATGAAACCTTTGACTTGTGAATGTTCGGGTTAACTAGAATTAGATTCTTCTAAATCAAGAAAAATAAAATTGGGTTATGAGGGGTAGGATTCTTTTTTATAGATAACTGAGAAAGTATAAATCTTATTCAATTACGTACATAATTATCATTTAAATTTGGTACCATGTTAAAAAAAATTTAAAAAAAAAATCATAAATATATCATATTTGTCTCTCTCGCCATACTTGTTACTGGTTTCCGGGCTTGCTACTTTCTCTATGTACTAGTTTTTTACGCGCATTGCGCGATTGGGATAATGCCCAATATTTTTTTTTAAATAAGTACTTTAAAGTATATTAAGGCAAGATTATATTGAAATTGTTCATGCATAGATAATTGAAGGTTGAATTTGCGTATTTAAATAGGTAATTCTTCTCCCAAAGGTTGAGTCCCCTACCCCAAGGGCCCCCCACACTCTGACCCGACAGAGCATTGTAGGAAGTTGTAAATCACGGTGACTCAATGGTTCAGCAGACAGGACCAAATGCCGGTGCGAACAAGGAATCTGGCCACTTTGGACATAATTCCCGCACTGCCGCCGCCGAGGTTCAAACCTTGGTCTCTTCTCCCAAATATTGCCCACTAAACCATTGAGCTAAGCCCATGCGGGTTAAATAGGTAATTCTAATTTTACAAATGCAAGATAATATAGTCAAGATTGATTATAATTGTCAATAAAATAATTGTATAGGTATGGTTGAAACCAAATACAGGACATAAGGGAGAACAAATAAAAATTAGGGCATAAAATATTAAATATATACTAATATTGTTTGAGGAGATTTCGACATTAGGATTTGTGGTTAAGTTCTATTAAGACTTTAATATTAGAATTAGATTAATGGTGTAATTATAATTCTATATTAGACGTTAATATTATAATTAGACTAACGGTGAATTAACGGTATTTAACGGAAAAGTTAAATGGATAATCATATAATTAAGGATAAATTAGAAAAATTTTAAAAAAAATTAAAACCTGAACAATTTGAACCATTCATTTGATTTAATAATTTGGCGGTCATTTTTTCTACCCAATGTTAATAATTAAATAAATTCGTTGGTCAAATCCGCTAATATAATCCGCGCGCTAACTGCTGATTGTCAAACAAGGACATTGCAAGGTAGTTTTCACTTCAATTTGTTGTGTGATTTGAATACTCTCTTTGTCACAAAATCTCTCAAGTAGTTAATATGGTTGGCTTTATTAATTATATATTTTTTTAATTTTTTCATGATATTAATAAAATACTTGGTAAATAAATATATAGCATTATTTTGTATTATAACTTTGATATTTAATTAGAAAAATAGCGCACAAAAAAAGATAATAGACAATGTAGTGAATATAATCAATTGATGAATTTGAATGTAAAAATTTTTACATTTGAGAAAAAATAAAGACAATATAACTAATGAAAATATTTCTCTTAATTAATTTATTGATAATGAATAATTTTTTTTCACTGAATTAAGACATTGTAAGGACAATGTAGCGAATATAATCAATTAATAAATTTGAATATAAAGAATTTTTATATTGTAGAAAAATAAAGACAATATAACTAATACAATTATTTCTCTTATTTAATTTATTGATAATGAATAATTTTTTTTGAATAAAGGCATTGTGGACACATAATTCTAAATTAAAGAAATGCATATCTATAATTTTTTTGTTGTAGCTACTAAATTATTATTTATATAATTTAATAAGAGTAAAATAAAGTACTAATTATGCCAACTTTGATTGGGATGAGGTTCGAACCTAAGACCTTTTTTTTTTTTATTGAAATCAATGAGTAAGTTAACGGTGAACTAACGACAATTCTTAAAATTTTAACGGAATTAGTAACGGTGTGAGGGTATTTTAGGAAATTTTAGTGTAAAATTTAAATCTTATCAATCTTTTAATCAATCTGAGCCATTCATTTGATTAAAATCTGTGACCGCCATTTTTTCTACCCATTATAGACCTAACTCTCTTGGGCTCTTATTAGTATAGTAGATAGTAGATAGTAGATTATGCTGCCGAAGTATATATATAAGAGTGTATGTTTTATCATTTTGTGTTAATGATCTGGGATGAGTTATTTTATGTCTATATGTGAAAGTATATTGAAGAGTTATTTTATGTCTATATGTGAAAGTATATTGAAGATTTAAAAAGTTTTAATGTAAATGTTTAAACGAATCGAAAATGTTTGAAATAAATTTTCAGGTAGTTTAATTGTTATGATTTCAGTATAACATACACCAAACATGTTAATTAACTTTTCA